CCCCTCCCCCCATTGTCTCTCCGCTACCCCCCCAACCGTCCACTGTGTGTGATGCTCCTCTCCTTGAGTCCATGTGTTCTCGTTCAACACACACCTGTCAGTGAGAACATGCGGTGCTTGGCTTTCTGTTCTTGGGTCAGTTTGCTGAGAATGATGGTTTCCAGATTCATCCAAGTCCCTACAAAGGACATGAACTCATCGTTTTTTACAGCTGCGTAGTATCCCATAGTGTATATGTACCACATTTTCTTTGCCCAGTCTGTCATTGATGGGCATTTGGGTTGGTTCCACATCTTTGCTATTGTACACAGGGCTGCAATGAACATGTGTGTGCATGTGTCTTTATAGTAGAATGATTTATAGTTCTTTGGGTATATACCCAATAGTGGGATTGCTGGGTCAAATGGAATTTCTATTCCTAGATCCTTGAGAAATCACCACACTGTCTTCCACAATGATTGAACTAGTTTACACTCCCACCAACTGTTAAGAGTGTTCCTATTTCTCCACATCCTCTCCAGCATCTGTTGTCTCCTGATTTTTAATGATCGTCATTCTAACTGGCGTGAGATAGCTCAGTGTGGTTTTGATTTGCATTTCTCTAATGCCCAGTGATGATGAGCATTTTTTCATATGTTTGTTGGCCTTATATATGTCCTCTTCTGAAAAGTGTTCATATCCTTCGCCCACTTTTGAATGGGGTTTTTTCTTGTAAATCTGTTTTAGTTCTTTGTAGGTTCTGGATACTAGCCCTTTGTCAGATAGGTAGATTGCAAAAAAATTTTCCCATTCTGTTGGTTGCCAATTCACTCTAATGATGGTTTTGTTTCTTTTGCTGTACAGCAGCTCTGGAGTTTAATTAGATCCCATTTGTCTAACCTGACTTTTGTTGCCATTGCTTTTGGTGTTTTAGTCATGAAGTCCTTGCCTATGCCTATGTCCTAGATAGTTTTGCCTACATTTTCTTCTAGTGTTTTCATGGTGTTAGGTTTTATGTTTAAATCTTTGATCCATCTGGAGTTAATTTTAATGTTAAGGTAACAGGTAGGGGTCCAGTTTCTGCTTCCTGCACATTGCTAGCCAGTTTTCCCAACACCATTTATTAAACATGAAGTCGTTTCCCCGCTGCTTGTTTTTGCTGGGTTTGTCAAAGATCAGATGGTTCTAGATGTGTGGTGTTTCTTCTGGGGTCTCTGTTACATTGGTCTGTGTCTCTGTTTTGGTACCAGTACCAAGCTGTTTTGATTACTGTAGCCTTGCAGTATAGTTTGAAGTCTGGCATTGTGATGCCTCTGGCTTTGTTCTTTTTGCTTAGGATTGTCTTGGCTATGTGGGGTCTTTTGTGATTCCATATGAAGTTCAAAATGATTTTTTCCAGTTCTGTGAAGAAGGTCATTGGTAGCTTGATGGAGATACCATTGAATCTGTAGATTACTTTGGGCAGTATGGCCATTTTTTTCACAGTATTGATTCTTCCTAACCATGAGCATGGAATGTTTCTCCATCTGTTTGTGTCCTCTCTTATTTCCTTGAGCAGTGGTTTGTAGTTCTCCTTGAAGAGGTCCTTTACATCCTTTGTTTGTTGTATTCCTAGGTATTTTGTTCTCTTTGTGGCAATTATGGATGGGAGTTCGCTCTTGATTTGGCTGTTTGTCTGTTACTGGTTTATAGGAATGCTTGTGATTTTTGCACATTGATTTTGTATCCTGAGACTTTGCTGAAGTTGCTTATCAATTTGAGAAGATTTTGGGCTGAGACAATGGGGTCTTCTAGACATACAATCATGTCATCTGCAAATAGAGACAGTTTGACTTCCTCCTTTCCTAATCAAATACCCTTTATTTCTGTTTCTTGCCTGATTGCTCTGGCTAGAACTTCCAATACTATGTTGAATAGGAGTGGTGAGAGGGCATCCTTGTCTACTGCCTGATTTCAAAGGGAATTCTTCCAGCTTATGCCCGTTCAGTATGATATTGGCTGTAGGTTTATCATCTTATGATATGTTCCATCAATACCTCATTTATTGAGAGTTTTTAGCATGAAGGGCTGTTGAATTTTATCAAAGGCCTTCTCTGCATCTATTGAGATAATCATGGTTTTTGTCTTTGATTCCATTTATGTGATGGATTACATTTATGGATTTGTGTATGTTGAACCAGCCTTGCATCCCTGGGATGAAGCCTACTTGGTCGTGTTGGATAAGCTTCTTGATGTGCTGTTGCAATCTGTTTGCCAGTAGATTTTTTTCGTCGATGTTCATTATGGATATTGGCCTGACGTTTTCTTTTTTAGTTGAGTCTCTGCCTGGTTTGGTATCAGGATGATGTTGGTCTCATAAAAAGAGTTAGGGAGGATTCCCTCCTTTTGTATTGTTTGATACAGTTTCAGAAGGAATGGAACCAGTTCCTCTGTACATCTGGTAGAATTCGGCTGTGAACCCGTCTGGACCTGGACTTTTTTTGGTTGATAGGCTATTGATTGCTGCCTCTACTTCAGCCCTTGCTATTGGTCTATTCAGGGTTTCAGCTTCCTGCTGGTTTAGTTTTGGTAGAGTACAAGTGTCTAGGAAATTATCCATTTCTTCCTGATTTACTGGCTTATGTGAGTAGAGCTGTTTGTAGTAATCTCTGATGGTAGTTTGTATTTCTGTGGCATCAGTGGTGATATCCCCTTTATTGTTTTTTATTGCATCTATTTGATTCTTCTCCCTTTTCTTTTTTATTAATCTGGCTAGTGGTCTATTTTGTTGATCTTTTCAAAAAACCAGCTCCTGGATTTATTGATTTTTTGAAGGGTTTTCTGTGTCTGTCTCTTTCAGTTCTACTCTGATCTTAATTATCTCTGGTCTTCTGCTAGCTTTTGGGTTTTTTTTTATCTTGCTCCTCTAGTTCTTTCAATTTCGATGATAGGGTGTCAATTTTAGATCTTTCCTCTCTTCTCTTGTGGGCATTTATTGCTATAACTTTCCCTCTCAATACTGCTTTAAAGGTGTCCCAGAGATTCTGGTAAGTTGTGTCTTCACTCTGGTTGGTTTCGAAGAACATCTTCATTTCTGCCTTCATTTGATTGTTTATCCAGTCAACATTCAGAAGCAAGTTTTTCAGTTTCCAAGTGGTTATGTGTGTTTGAGTGTGTTTCTTGATCCTGAGTTCTAGTCTGATTGCGCTGTGGTCTGATAGACTGTTTATGATTTCTGTTCTTTTGCATTTGCTGAGGAGTGATTTGTTTCCAATGATGTGGCAATTTTAGAGTAAGTGCAATGTGGTGCCGAGAAATATGTATATTCTGTGGAATTGGGATGGAGCGTTCTGTATATGTCTATTAGATCCGCTTGGTCCCACTCTGCATTCAAGTCCTGGATATCCTTGTTAATTTTGTCTCGTTGATCTAATATTAACCATGAAGTATTGAAGTCTCCCACTATTATTGTATGGGAGTCTAAATCTCGTTTTAGTTTATTAAGAACTTGCTTTATGTATCTGGGTGCTCCTTGTTGGGGGCGTATATATTTAGGATAGTTAGCTCTTCCTGTTGGATTGATCGTTCTACTAAGCTGGTTATTCTAGTTAGCATTTTGTCTAACCTTTTTTCAAGGTTTTTTGTTTCTTTGCATTGAGTTAGAACATGTTCCTTTAGCTCTGAAAAGTTATTATCCACCTTCTGAATCCTGTTTCCATCAATTCTTTGCATTCCTTCTCGGTCAAGTTGTGATCCTGTGTTGTTGAGGAGTTGTGATCCTTTGAGGGAGAAGAGGTGTTGTGGTCTTTGATGGTTTCACCTTTTTTGTGCTGTTTTTTCCCCATCTTTGTGGATTTACCTGGCTGTGGTGTCAGAGAGCTGTTGAAGAGGTCACTTGTCTGCCTGTGGGGGCACTACTGGGTTTCTAGGGACTCCTTCAGGTTACTAGGAAAGCTTCCTGTGTCTTTTTTGTTTATACTGAGAGATTAAGCCTGCCTCTTCCGCTGACTTGTAGGCGCTGCTGGGTTGTCAAGAATGCTGTCCCATTGCTAGGTAGGCTTCCTATGTTTTTTGTTAAAACATGTAGCCCAGTCTCACCCCTCTAGTGGTGGGCTGTGCCCTTCCTCCACTGGGCTGGATCATTCAGTGTTCATCTCAGACTGTGGCACTGGCTACACAACCCATAGGAGTCAGAGCTTCAGCCCTCTGGGGTTTGTGGGGGGGGGGGGTAGGGAGCTGCCCAGCCGCACCCGGCAGTCTCCCCCTTTCAGCTTTCTCTCTCTCCAGTCATAGGAGAGAAATATTGACAGTGGAGTATTGAAGGGGCCACCCAGCTGCTCCCCCTTACAGCTCCCTCTCTCTCCAGGCGGGGGGAGGGGCGATAGCTCAGTCTGCAGACTCTTATTCAACTCCGCACTTGTAATTCCGGGCGCTTGACTGGCAAAGATCCCCGTTCTGTGTATTGCTGAGGCTTTGGGTGAAGCGCTGTACCTTGACCGGAGCACCAGATGTGAAGCCTCCGACTTGCCGGTCAGATGCATTTTCTGGGTGAAGCAGCACCCCTCCCGCCTCCGTCTGCCCTCAGTGGGCTTTGCTCACCCTCGGACCAGACCCATTGAAATGCACCTGGCACCTTGGCTGAAGCTAGATCTCTGGGTTTCTGCGTCTCTCGCTGGGTGTTGTGTGCTTGAGTTGTGTCTAATCCACCATCTTGGATCCTCCTTCCAGTGCTTTTATAGTTGCATTCTGGGATTTGGGGTGGGAGGTGGTGGACACTCATGCTGTTTGGCCTCCTGGTCCAGTACTGGTCTTCCTCTCAGCACTCATCAGATTGCACTGAAGAGGATTCCGAGACTACGCAGAATTAGTAAATGTTAGAAACATATTAGAAGGATAAAACTGGGAAAATGTGTCCTACAAGGCAAAAGACTGAGGAGAAAAATATTGAAAAGGGTGCTACATGAAGATTAGACTCTAATTTTGCCAGCACTCCAGTGAGGAGGAGGAGCTCTATGGGAAAGACACATCTAAACTGATGATGATGGTAAAGTGCCCCCCTTTTTTTTTTTTTTTTTTTTTGAGAGAGAGAGTTTTACTCTTGCTGACCAGGCTGAGGTGCACAAAGGCCTTATGACTCACAGAGGGAGAGCAAGGGTATGGACTGCCCGCCTAACTTTGCTTTTTGACTCTGTCTAATCTGTATAAAGCAGAAATAACTGAGATGATGCTCTCAGTTATTTCTGCTTTATACAAAGAAGCAGCTTCCACGTAGTTGAATTAATATTACTTCCATTTGTTCTGAGTGGCTCTTTGAGTCAAATCATTCCAAAAGGGGCTGTTTAAAAATTACCTACAATTTAGGTTTTTCAGAGGAAAAACCCATGTATGCTATGACCAAGTTATACAAGTATAAATGGATGCCACACTGTCAAATGCATTAGATTAACTTCTTCTAAGATTGTCAGGAAAAGACAACACTAGAACAAATGCAGTGCAGGAAACCTTGCATTTATGTAAGTTAAGAGGAAGAGAAGTAAAAATATTATACAAACCAATTCCCATAAAAGTCTTTTATAGAGTAAGCCTAAATAGGAAGTGCTTAATATGAGTTCACCTTACACCTCCAGGTAGTCACATTCCACAGAGTGAACAGCACAGAAGGTGCCACCACGCACAGCACAGGCTGTTCCACACCGCTGCCCTTGTCAACAAGCTAGCCCAGACTGCGAGGGGAAGCTCAGGACAGCAGTGCCCATACCTCCTCTTCAGAGACTTGCCCCGGGTGGCCTGGTACTTGGCTGCCATTTCCTCCAGGCTGGGCATCCCTACAGCACCCCTGCAGGAGACATTGATTTCACAGACTTGCCTCAGGTACACCTGGAGTCACCTGGAATGGGAGCTGCAGGTAACTAAATTTTCTACTTCACAGATCTCATCAGAAACTCATTTTACTTAACCTTCTGCCATTAAAATTTAATCATCTATTTAACCTGTATCATTCAAAAATATATGGAACCTGGCCAGGTGTGGTGGCTCATACCTGTAAGCCCAGCACTTTGGGAGGCCGAAGGGAACAGATCACTTGAGGTCAGGAATTCAAGACCAGCTGCCCAACATGATGAAACCCCATCTCTACTAAAAATACAAAAAATTAGGCAGGCATGGTGGCGCATGTCTGTAATCCCAGTTACTCAGGTGGCTTAGGAAGAAGAATTGCTGTAACCCAGGAAGCAGAGAGCCAAGATCACACCACTGCACTCCAGCCTGGACGACAGATGAAGTCTCCCTCACTCACCCTCTCTCTCACGGATGGATGGATGGATGGATGGATGGATGGATGGATGATAGATGATAGACAGACAGATAATGTGTGTATGTGTCTGTATAGATATAGATATGTAAAACCCTTCTCAGCCTTTTTTAAATTTCTAGAGCCTAAAACGATAGCTGTGGCCACTACGGCAGAGGTAAGTGACAACATTTGAGCACAGTGTACTCTGTCTCCTTTTGTAACTGTTCTCGCTCTCTCCTAGAAAGCTCAGTTACAAGATTACAGTTGTAGAAATTTGCATCTTTATTGTGTTTGAAAGTATTTGTCTTCATGTTGAGGAGGGGCATGATGAAAAAAATACATGTATTTCAGTTCAGATTGATTCTATAGATAGAAAGCCTACACTTTTTAAAGCACTCAGAATAGGGAAAAAAGTATTAAGTATTCACCTTAAAACTTTGGGCAACATGCCTTGGGCAGGAGAAGCCCCTCCGGATGGGTCGTCTCGGCTCCAGATGGAGTCTCCAGTTGGTCGCTGCTTCTCCTGGGGACCCCTGACACCACCTCTCTTCCATCGTAGGGCTTAGACTCCTCTCACACTGGAGTTTACATTTTCAGTTTATTCATTGAGGGGGCAAGATGGAATCACGAACAAAAAATACTGGAAGACTTGCTGCCTCTGGAGATGTGCTGTGATTTTCCCGACATATACTTTTTGCCAACAAAGGTAACCACCCTGCTGTTACTATGAAGTCCTAAACCTGAGCTCAGTAATATACAAACCACCCTCAGTAATATACAAAGCACTCTTATTCCCATTCCCTACAACTTGACAAGGGAGATGTGATAATATACTCAAACAACAAAGATTTTAGATCACCCAAAATATTACTAAAATTTAAAGTAGATGCCTACTTACATCCCATGTTCTGAAGAATATGTACTGTAAAGCCATAATAATTACTCTTTATATTATCCACGTATAATTTCCACATGCTGTTACATTAATCATTTAACTTCTACTGTATCTAATTCATAACAAATTGCCCAAGCCTAGCATATAGAAAATGTGAGCCACTGATTCACTTCAACTATGCAATTTGACTACTGGATTTTTTTTTTTAAGATTTCTACCAAAACACTAAATGCTTCTAGCCAGATGACAGATTCAAAACTCTATACTTTTGAATGCCCAGTTTACCAGACACCTGAGAGGTCAAGAATTTTGGCAACTACTAGTTTGCCAACAAACTTTTTAATATCAGTGTACTTACCAATGAAGAAACCTCCTAGTCACTGGATCACAATGCGGGTTGCATTGCTTTGTGAAAAGAATGAAAAAGAAATATCTACACCAAATCATTTTAATTTTTGACTCTAGCCAGATTTACATGTTGCAAGACATTCATGTTTCGTCAATACCCTTTATAAAACATTTGTGTTCAGCCAGACTGGGCAGGTGCGGTCTCTTTATTTCACTTGTACATGAAAACTTCAACACATAGGGGAATCTTACAGCTGCTTTTTATTTTAGGTACCTAGACCTGACCATGCAATGTCCCTGTGGTTGGGCTCTAGTACAGGTCAGCACAACCTGGAATACAGCAAGTTCGACTCTCCTAACAGTAAAAACCACACCACCTGGCAAGGTATCAGGGCATGTCTTTAAAAACATTTTGATAAAGTGATTTATAAAGTTATATACAATAAAATATACACATGTAGAGTAGGTCTTTGGAATACTTCACCTGGCTGCTCTAAGTAAACACAGAATACTGCTGACCTAGCTACAGACTTCTGAAACAAAAGAGAAGGGCCTTCTTCTTTAAAGAAATGCAGTATGGGCCAGGCACAGTGTCTTACGCCTGTAATCCAAACACTTGAGTTCAGGACTTCGAGACCAGCCTGGACAACATGGTGAAACCTCATCTCTGCTAAAAATACACAAATCAGCCAGGCATGGTGGCACATGTCTGTAATCCCAGCTCAGGAGGCAGAGGCATGAAAATCACTTGAGCCTGGGATGCAGAGGTTGCTGTGACCCGAGACTGCACCACTGCCCTTCAGTCTAGGTGACAGAACAAGACTGTCTCAAAAAAATTTAAAAAAATTTTTTTTAAATTGCAGTCTAGCTGGGTTCAGTGGCTCATGGTTATAATCCCAGCACTTTGGGATTATAGGCCAAGGCAAGAGGATCACTTGAGGCCAGGAGTTCAAGACCAGCCTTGACAACATAACGAGACCCTGTCTTTACAAAAAAGTGCTTAAAAACTTAGCCAGACATGATGAGACACCTGTAGTCCCAGCTACTCAGGAGTCTGAGACAGACAGATGGCTTGAGCCCCGGAGGTTGAGGCTGCATTGAGCTATGATCACACCACTGCACTCCAGCCTGGGTGACAAAGAAAGACCTATCTCTGGGGGGAAAGAAAGAAAATATGGTTCTGACTTCACTAGAGCTCTTCGCCTACTAAAAACCAAATCCTGAGAATTCGGTAAATTAAATGTTTCTGTAGGAAGAATTTTATTACTTAACTTTTTTTTTTTCAAGACAGAGTTTCACTCGTTACCCAGGCTGGAGTGCAACGGCACGATCTCGGCTCACTGCAACCTCCACCTCCTGGGTTCAGGCAATTCTCCTGCCTCGGCCTCCTGAGTAGCTGGGACTACAGACACACGCCACCATGCCCAGCTAATTTTTTGTATTTTCAGTAGAGACGGGGTTTCACCATGTTGGCCAGGTTGGTCTCGATCTCTTGACCTCGTGATCCACCCGCCTCGGCCTCCCAAAGTGCTGGGATTACAGGCTTGAGCCCCCGCACCCGGCCGGAAGATTTTTATTACCTACTAAAAATGACTATCATAACTCAGCACCATGTTGAGCACTAATGATCCCTGAATCATCCTCAGGGCCCTCTATGCCTCTACGCTATGTGGACACATCAGCCAGATATTATACATGAGGAAACCAGTGCTCAGAGATTGCCCAATCGCACACTGCTGAGAGCAGAGCTAGCTTTTGAAGCCACATCTCACTGTCACTTTATCGTGGCAACGGTCCATGGGCAGAAAGCATAACCCACGTGTACACAAATGAAGATGCAACAGTCCCTTCTCTCTATAGTAAGGGGTGTAGAAAAGGTGGGACTTGTACCCAGCACTAGACTTTAACAGCCATGAACAAAACATGTATTTGTGTCTAGGAAACTGTACCATCTATATGCAAGTAAACAGCACCTAGGAACACTCCACCTTGTATCTTTTGTTAAAATCCAATACTTCATCATTTGCTCCAAACAGTGCAAAACTAAAGACAAAAATATAAATCATATACTTGGTATTGGTGCATCTTCTGACACATCTACCTTTTGCAATGTAATGTCCCAGCAGGACAAATTGAGAGGTGAAGCTGTCTGATCTCATCTCACAACTCAGGCTTAGAGTCAACTGGAAATCCACATGAGCACTAAAGCATGGTCAGCAGGCACAGAAATGTCTCTCACACATGTGCTTTCTTTCAAATGCATAGATGCTTCTGTGATTCATACAAATTCATTTGAAAGTATGACTGAATCTACAATAGTTTTAGTATTTCTGTATTTTCTCAAACAGCAAACGCTAAATACATGACTATTTTCCGGGAGTTAAGACTCCCAACTAACCTCTTTCAGCTCCAACATTCTGAGTCTTGAAATAAACAGCAGTTGTCCAGGGGTCCCAAACAGATGATCCTAGGAAAAGAGGAGGCTAGGTGGGGGTGGGACTCTCAGGGCTCCTGTCTTGGTCCCAAAAATCCCAGAGTTTCAAGCAAAAAAGGGGGGAAAAAAGCTCCAAAGTGATCAAAATGTTGCTACATTTTATTTCCAACTTAAAACTTCATTATAAAATTTGCCAAATAAACATGTCCAAAACAAAATTAAAAACAAATTGTAGCTGACATCCAGAAATTGCAGCACTACATTGGTAATGGGCTCTTTTCATTACCGGGGAGAAAATTTAATGTCCTTCCTCCCTCCCCAAAAGCTTCCTTGGTGTAATCTAGTACAGAAAATGCTGGCAACCACGTTCTGATGCCAGGAGAAAAGCAAAATTTAAAAACTGCTTGCACACATCAGCACTGATAAAACAATGACAATTTCACTAAAAGAATGTTTAAAGACTACAAGATGCTAGAGCAAACCAACTTCATGATTGCATTAACATAAGCTAAGTTACATACACTTCAAATGCAGTGTAGAACAAACACTGCATATCTAAATGGCTCATATATAAAATGTATCATTAAAACCCAAACATGCACACTATATTTATCACATTCCGCTATAATTGAAGTACTGAGAACAATTTAACTTTGAAGACAAACCTTTAGTGAATTTGCTACTGTTCTATTACAGGACAATTAAAAATGAAACTGTATCAACTTCACTAGAATGTAATTGCTAAAGCTACTTTATACACATCTATTAAACTAAAATAAAGGACTTTAACCCCTTAAGTTGATTTTAGATAGCACTCCTTTACAGGGAGTAAAGTTTTGTAAATATAAAGGATATATAAAAAATACAGTATAAACTGTGTAAACTTAACAGTAGCAAAAACACTGATGAACTTCTAAAAAGTCAAAAATATATAAAAATATTAGCCTGGAATGGCAAATTTTCAAACACCAATCTGTGTAAAAATGTTTAAATATTGATGTTTCTCAAAATATATATATTTATTCTATTTTTTTTTTTTCTATTTGAAACAGTTTATAAAGGCAAACAAACACCTGCAATTGAGGTAGCAAAGCCAAATTCACTAACTTTGGATCAAAAAATACCCTTCCTATGTTTTAACAGTATCTTCTATACGATAGTAAATGAATTCTAATTGTTTCAAATTTTTTAATTCACATCACTTTACAAAACTATTTAAAATAATGAAAATGTTTTGTTAAAAAGACAGTCCTGACAATCATCTCACATTCAAAATACTATACAGAAAAATCTGATATATTACATAAAACTAAGCTATGTATTTACATTTTCAAATAGTTTTAGAAGTTGAGGTTAAACCAACTGCTACAAATGGTCTCCCTTTAACAGTGTCTGCTAATAATCTCACCACTCTTCACTTTCAGCATTTAATATAGGCCCTTCTTTTTGCTTTCAAATGATATAACTAATAAATGACTTAAAGAAAAAATTCTATTCTCTTACTGAATAAAACATAAATGTACTTTAAATGTAACAATGTTTTAAGAAAAACCAACAGGCAAAAAAAAAAATCAAAATTTGAAAAGTAATCAAAAACCATAAACATCAATAGTATTCTTCACAGTATATTTATATTAAGACTGTTTTGTTTTCAGATTTTTAAGGGCTGAAAATTTCCCATAAAAATGCAAAATCTCACATCCTTACTTGTATTTTTCCTGTGTTAACCATAATTTAATAAGAGTAAACAGCTATACTAAAAGACTACTTGGCTCTATAGTCCTGACTCAAAAAGAAAAAAAAAATTTACAGAGCCTGTCAGTGCAACAAAATAAAGTTTTGGATATCTTTCCTTGTTTTTGCAAATGGCAGCCAGAACTGCAGGAGCATTTTGTAGATGTGCCAGAAGAGCATTAGTAGATATATGGAAATATACGGTAGGGCACACGCTGACAGTACTTTTCCCAGGCCACACCGTATTTCTTCTTACACTGGTACTCGTCACGAGCTTCTCGGTGGACAAGCAACATGGTGAAATAAACCACGTAGAAATAAGGCAGAATGTGATTAAAACCTGTGGATAATCCCAGTACACAGTATTAGATTTTTATTATCACTACAACATATTTTTTCCTGCTTTCCCCCAAATTCTCTAAAAATGAACCACAAGGTTACTTCATGTTCTCTAATAATAAAAAAAACAATTAAATCAGTCTGTAAAATCCCACTGGAAAGTGGCAGGTCTTAGCTAAATTAGAAACTACTCAAAGAGTGGTGAATCCATTCTAACAATCCATCATAATCAAAACATCTGTCCTCATAGTTAATGTAAATGGAGACATTATGCAAATGTCTCCATTTCTCACCCTTGTTCGCCCAGTGAAGAAGTAAAACTGCCAAGGGCCACCGGACCACCACACACAGGAGGTAGCAGGCACAGGCAAGCTCCCCCAACCCCCATAGCTCCCCCAGCTTCCCCAGCTCCCTCAGTTCCCACAGCTCCCCCAAACCCCTGCTTCCCCAGCTCCCATAGCTCCCCCAGCTTCCCCTGCTCTCCCAGCTCCCTATTCCCCCAGCTCCCCCAGCTCTACCAGCTTCCCCTCCTCCCTCAGCTCCCCCTGGTCCCCCAGCTCCCCCTGCTACCCCTCCTCCCTCAGCTCCCCCAGCTCCCCGCACCCCCCACCACCTGTTCCCATAGATCCCAAAGCTATCCCAGCTCCCCTGGATCCCCCAGTGCCTCTGCCACCTCAGCTCCCATAGTTCCCCATGCTCCCCCTACTCCCATGCTCCCCCAGCTCCCCAGGAGGCCAGACACACACAAAGAAAAACAGAATCTTCTTCCCTTCTTAAGAACCAAAGTTTTTCCCAATCTGTGTGCAACGAGTCATGAATTAAGAAGCTGAATTAATTTCTATATATTCTACTTAGAAAAAAGCTATCAGGCACAGTTTAAAACTTAAAATTTTGCTTTTAGGCTTCCTTCAGGCTCTGTGAATTACCAATTACCCTCAAAAGCAAGAGGAGCTTCTACAGAGACCAACCTCGCAGTAGAAAAAGGCAACCAAAGACTCACACCTACCTTGCCCACACTGTCCCACACAAAGGACACACACACCTTTCAGGCAGCTGAAACAGTCAAACTCACACTCTTCTGAAGTGCTTACCACATGGGAGGGACCACGCCAGGGCCATGATGAGATCACCCAAGTAATTGGGGTGTCGAACAAAGCCCCACCATCCAGAAACTAGAAGATTTTTTCCCGTTGAAGTATGAATGGTTTTTAAATCTATATAAAAATAATAAAAGTATATTTTTAATGATGTCAAGATAAAAAGCGGCATAAAATCTTGATGTAATATATATATGTAAATAGAAATCAATACTTACGTGCAAGCTTTGGATCACTGGGATTTTTCCGGAATGCATTTTTCTGAGAATTTGCACCTCGGAAGATTACATAACCACAAACTGCAATTTTAAAATATTTTCCCATGTTAATAACTTAGTTATAATCTAATGCCTAATAGCATCTGTAATTTCTATGCTCTGAGGAAATTCCCAAAGCAGACTCCTAGGCTCAAGAGATCCTCCTGCCTCAGCCTCCCAAAGTGCTGGGATTACAGGCATGAGCCACCACACCTGGCTTGATTCTTAAGAACTCAGAAACTCTAAATGCCACTATGTAAAATGACGGTAACCCTTCCAAAATCTATCACACTACTCTCATCATCTACCTAAGGAACACTCTGAAGGCAAAATATAGTTATATCCATCCATGAAAGAGATGAAATCTAAGACAACTAAGATAAAATCAAATGTTAGGTTAGAATCAGCACCAGAACATTCTGCACTTTAAATATACGCTGAATCCCACTGTAAGTCCACAAGTTTCTATTATTCAAATTTCAAAATGTCAAAAATCAATGTATCACTGATATTTAACTATTATATAGTCGATTACCAATAAACTAGTAAAAAATAACTATGCCAGGCATGGTGGCTCACACCTGTAATCCCAGCACTTTGGGAGGCTGAGTCAGGCGGGGATCACCTGAGGTCAGGAGTTTGAGCCCAGCCTGGCCAACATGGTGAAACCCCATCTCTATTAAAAATACAAAAAATTAGCTGGGCGTGGTGACGGGTGCCTGTAAACTCAACTACTCGGAAGGCTGAGGTAGGAGAATCACTTGAACCCAGGAGGCAGAGGTGAGTGGAGATCACGCCATTGCACTCCATCCTGGGTGAGAGTGTAAGACTCTGTCTCAAAAAAAAAAGAAAAAGAAATAACTTTACTTCCTGCTTTGATTTGAATGTGTCCTCCAAAGTTTATGTGTTACAAATGTAATCCTCAATGCAACAGTGTTGAGACGTAGCACCTTTAAGAGATAATTAGGTCATGAGGGTTCCGAACTCATGGACAGATTAATGTCACTAATAGAGGAGTGGGCTCAGTATCTTGAATGGGCTTGTTATAAAAGCATGTTCAGCCCCTCTTGCCCTTCCTCACTCTCTCTCGTCCTTCCACCTTCCACCATGGGATGCTGCAACAGGAGGCCCTTGCCAGATTCCAGCATCATGCCCTTTGATTTCCTGGCCTCTGGAACCATGAGCCAAGTAAATTTCATGACAAATTACCCAGTCCCAGCTAGTCTGTTTGAGCAGCACAAAACAGACTAAGACACTCCCCATTTTTAGCTGAACTATAAAATACACTGTCTTGAATAATAAAATGGATATGGACAACCAAACCACTGGTGAAATAAATCTTAATTTTAACCAATGGTTTGAATTTCTTCTTCTACCACAGATACTAACTAGTGTAGCAAAACTATCTATATTTGAAGTTCACTGCCAATTTTCCCTGCCCAACCTCTAGTAAAGTGTTTAATGAACAGTGTAAGAACAAAGACATTTCAACCTGGAGTAAAATTTATGACCAACCCTGGTGGACCTCAGCTGCAGCCAAACTCGACTTCTCAGTCTTTCCCAATTTCATCTCATACTTCCCCACCACACACCTTTGCTGAGGTGTTCCCAGTGCCTGACTTTTGAATCCGCATCCCATTTTACCCTCTCAAACTCAGATCAAACACCATATCCTCCAATAAGTTCACACTGACATTCCCCAGAGAGTAGTTCTCTCTCTCCCTTAAACACCCATCACCTAAGCCCCTCTTAGTGCTCACTCACACACGTCACAGCAAGGTAGGAATGTCTAATTTCTCCTGTTAGAATGTGAGCTCTAAGAAGGCAAGAAGAATCTTCCTACTTTATAAGATGCCTACCGGAAAAAGCAGGCACTCAATGGAAAAGATGTATGGTTACTCAAACAAATTCAATCAACTTAAATTTATTATATTTAAAAACAAGATGGTTCGTTTAAAATAATCTGTTTCGAGTACTACTGGGAACCCAAGTGTGAACCATCCATTCTCTTTTCAAAATGCAGACTTTTTATTATTCATCACAAATTACTTCAAATTTAGCTAATGCTGACCACTCAAGATGGCATGTTACAAGTATGTAGACATCAAAGCATAAAAGACTCAGTACCTAATATTTAATAAATTAGACTGAGACCGAAATTAATACTCACGTTTCAGAACAATCATTAGAGAAGCCATTGGCCAAGATACTTCATTTGGATGACTGACTAAGTAAAAGGCTTGGAAGCTGTAAATAAATGGAACCCACACTAAGTCTCCAAAAGCCAGCATGAATCCAAATCCATCGTGGATGATGTCCATGGTCGTCAACACTGCTTCCTATAAGGACAGAGAAAGTGGAAAGGAAGAAAGAGCTTCTATGTTTAAAGTATTCAAATAAAGTACTAGTTTAAAGGCAAATGTATAAAGTGCTATGGGTGGGTCTGTACCAACATTTTTTTTTAAAGGGGAAGAGACCTGGTTCCCCTGGCCTGCTAGGTCTTTCTGCCATCACATTCTCCTATCACATCAGCCGTGCTCCTGAGATAACAGATCTCTAGTGTTTCCCATGCCCCCATGCCCAGGCCCTCCCCTCTTCTGGTAACCCCTCCTCCAACCTCCACATAGGCCCCACACCCTGTGCTGCCCTCCTGACCTGCCACTCAGACCTGGGCACTTCTCAGATGTCACCATCCACCAGTAAGCTATAGCAATTGGGTTACTGTACTTGTCTAGTCATTCTCCAATACACTAAAAGCCTCTAAAAGACAGAGACCATGTATTTTCACCTTTGCCACCCAAGTACCTAGCACAGTGCCCACCATGGAGAGAAATGTTCAAAATATGTTTGCTGAAGGAATGGTAAGATCACCAACTCTTTCTGTTTCAATTCCACATGCACCAATCTAATTTCTGATCATAATCTGACTTTTCATATAGATTTTCCACAGGAGAAATTAAGCTACCTGGCAACATGGTGACAGCTTCACTTCTCATGTAAATTAATAAAAGTGCATTACTCCCTGGTGATTTGGTTAGCATGAGCCAGATTGCCTCTGGATGTGGATACTTTTTTTTTTTTTTTTTTTTGAGACGGAGTTTCGCTGCTGTTACCCAGACCGGAGTGCAATGGCGTGATCCCGGCTCACCGCAACCTCCGCCTTCTGGGTTCAAGCAATTCTCCTGCCTCAGCCTCCCGAGTAGCTGGGACTACAGGCGCGCACCACCATGCCCAGCTAATTTTTGTATTTTTAGTAGAGACGGGGTTTCACCTTGTTGACCAGGATGGTCTCGATATCTTGACCTCGTGATCCACCTGCCTCGGCCTCCCAAAGTGCTGGGATTATAGGCGTGAGCCACTGCGCCTGGCCTGGACGTGGATACTTTTAAGCCAGACTCCAGAACACAGAGATACTACCAAGGTCAACACTCTGAAAGTCTGGCCTGAGGGAATCTCTAAACTACCTGGAACCTCAGTACATACCACTAATGCAGAAAAATTAGCTAGTATAAGCTCTGTAGAAGAATCAATGTTCTAGGTTAAAGAAAAAGAGTGGTACCTCCATATAGCATTTTTTTCTAGAGAGAAAGCAAATAGGCCATAGAACAGAAAAACAGATGTCACACGGAACAGAAACATCAATCTCACAAAATCTAACTCCTTAGGCTTATACTCTTCAGTTAGCAGAGTTATCTTTAAAAAAAAAAATTGACATGTAATAATTGTACATATTTACAGGTACACAGTGATGTTGCAATACATGTAATATTCAAGGTAATTAGCATATCCATCATCTCGAACACATTATTTCTTTATGTTGGGAATATTCAATATCCCTCTAGCTATTTGAAACTATGTATCACTGTTAACTAGTCATCCTACAGTGGTACAGAATACCAGAAATTAGAACTTACTCCTCCTATCTAGCGTAATTCTGTAGCCTTTAACAAACCTCTCCCTATCCCTCCCTTCCCACCCTCCCATACCCTCTGCTCTACTTTTTACTTCTATGACATCAACTTTTTTTAGCTTTCACATATAAGTGAAAAGAAGTGGTCAACTTTCTGTTCCTGAGAGTGTCTTACTCTTAACACATAAACTCTCAAGGCCTGTGATCTGATTCGTAGTCCAAAAGAGGATAAAGGTGACAAAAAGGTGGGAGCAAATAAAAGCAGGTGCAGTAAGTGACAGTGAGAGGGCAAAGGATAAACACCCAGTGCCAGGTCAGGGAAGAACCTTAGCCCCACCAGCTCCTGAGCCCCAAGGCTTTCGAAGGATGGGCTCAGAGGAAGGGTCATACATATTTAAACTGGTAGTCTCAGTTTTCTTAAGGCAGAGGCCATTTTTTAATACGGAGGGATTTCTATCAAGTGACCTAACAAAAAAGTTATTAAGCATCTGCTAATTGCCAGTGACATGCCAGAATGCTAAATAAATCATAAAATCCAATCCTTCCTCAAGAAGTTTATTATAATCTGGCTGAGACACTGAGAATAGACAGAAAACAATTTTCTAACTCTAGTTCTCTACCCCTGCGGCTATGTTAATATTGCCTTAAGAGTTTTGCCTTATGATGCAAAAAGTTTTCTTTGAACACAAGTCAATGTTTGGCTAAATCTATACAAAATATGAACTTCTAAGCCAATTAAAAAGTGACGACCACAACATGGCAGAAAGCTATTAATGGAAGAAACCAGAAGAAATGATCGCTGCAATGGAAAGATACTGGAAAGGAAGGTTTAAAGAGGCCTCTGAGGTGATCAAAATAGTAAAATATCATTTGATTTGCAAACTGTAATCTATATGCTCTTTGAGCGATTCATTCTGTAACAGCAAACAAATCTACACTGGTAACAGTAAGTGCATTTACAAAGAGCTGTTTTTTAATTTCAAAAACATGTTTAATTTTGGGTCGAGTTGGAATTTTTAAAGAACTTCAATGTGAAGTGCTATCACTACCTTCATAGCTTCCCAAGCTCAGAGCCAGGGTCTATGAAGTGGTAGGAGCACAATAGGAACCTGTAATTAGGGGAAAGCACTAATCCCAACACTTGCAATTGAGGCTTACCTCAAAGTGATCCCAATCTTCCTAATAACAGGAAAATCATCAAAACACCAATATGAAACTTTCAAAGTTGTTCTGACTAAATATTCCCTGTGATTTTGCATAGAAGGCCAAAATTAAAGACTAGGTGGCAGAGATGGGGGAGATATATAGTACTGATGGCCAAATAATACAATATTTTTAAATGTCCCAGACTCAAAGGAAAGAGGTCTTCTCTTGAAATATCACCAGATTGTCTCAACAGACTGTCATAAAAACCTGTTTTAGAACATTATGATGTACAGCTGCCAAAACTTTTTTTTTTAACATGGAAAGAAATTGGAGATGATTACAAAGATAACAGTAAATATGACAAAATACTTATAAAATAAGCCTGAGGGGCTGGGCGCGGTGGCTCAAGCCTGTAATCCCAGCACTTTGGGAGGCCGAGGCGGGTGGATCACAAGGTCAACGGATCGAGACCATCTTGGTCAACATGGTGAAACCCCGTCTCTACTAAAATTACAAAAAATTAGCTGGGCACGGTGGTGCGTGCCTGTAATCCCAGCTGCTCAGGAGGCTGAGGCAGGAGAATTGCCTGAACCCAGGAGGCGGAGATTGCGGTGAGCCAAGATCGCGCCATTGCACTCCAGCCTGGGTAACAAGAGCGAAACTCCGTCTCAAAAAAAATAAATAAATAAATAAATAAAAATAAGCCTGAGGAAGAAATAATTTTTAAAAGGAATATGCTGGTTGAGACAGAGAAACATTTACCAGTCTTCAACTAGTAGAAGACTAATCAATATATGAAAAAAGACAGGAGATGGAAACTTAGCCTTATTTCAACTGGTTTCCTCAATGCATCTTGATTGTCTGATTTTACATTCATCTGATTAGAGCTAGTCTTTGTATTTTAGAATACTAACAATAAGGCTGGGCGCGGTGGCTCATGCCTATAATCCCAGCACTTTGGGAGGCCGAGGCAGGTGGATCACAAGGTCAAGAGATCGAGACCATCCTGGTCAACATGGTGAAACCCCGTCTCTACTAAAAATACAAAAATTGGCTGGGCATGGTGGTGAGCGCCTGTAGTCCCAGCTACTCGGGAGGCTGAGGCAGGAGAATTGCTTTAACCTAGAAGGCGGAGGTTGCGGTAAGCCAAGATCGTGCCATTGCACTCCAGTCTGGGTAACAACAGCAAAACTCCGTCTCAAAAAAAAAAAAAAGGAATACTAACAATAAAACATCTCCCCCATTATTTGAAAACTAGGTGACTCTTAACAATCCAAGAAACACCATTCTAATTTGGTAATAATCCATTCATTTTCATGTGATACCATAATTAATACCACCCACAAAAACAAAACCAAGATCCACCAATCTTAAATATTTAATATTAAACACAAGAGCAGCTGATAAACACCAAAGCACTCCAAAATGCCTAGAAGCTTCACACCTGTCAGCGCTCCCTCATCAGTTCAGCGCTTTGCATGGTCGGCCTCATGTCCTCTTTACAAGCAGCCTGGGAGGTAGGCTGTGCTCCCCTCACTTTGAGTGCAAGAAGCTGAGGCGCTGACAGGTCACTCACCCACTCAAAGCCATCTAACAAGGCTTTGGCTCTTAAAATTAATTACCTCGTTCCAGAGAGCATCCACCACATAGAGAAGCTGGAAACTGTTAACCAAAATCATGGCCAAGGATGGAACAGCGCGGCTCTGTATTTTCATTTCAGCCAAAAGCATCACCAAGTTAATAACCACCTGAAACAAAAGGGGAAAGGATATAGCCTCAAAGCACCTCCCCAGAGACCTTAGCACTACAAAGTCAAGAGTGAGCTTCACAACTGAGACACCTGGCAGACACCACCTTAACACCTACCCGCCACCAGTAATAAGACATCTCAGCACCACGGGTCCCTGGGCCCAATGCACCGAGAAGGACACAGTTATCATTTCTGTGTTCCTGTCACAGTGCATAACTTCACCCCAATCAAAGAGAACACTGGAATGACCCAAACTAAGAGAAACTCTTATAAAATAACCAACCAGTACTTTCCCAAAAGTATCAAGGTCATCAGAGACAAGGAAAGCCTAAACAACTATTACAGACTAGAGAAGACAAAGAAGCAATAACAACTAAATGCATCATGGAGTCCTGTTGAGGTTCCTGGAACAGAAAAAGGACAACAGCAGAAAAACTGGTGAACTCTACTGAGGCCTGTGGACTTGATGACTAATGCTGTCGCTATGTTAATCTCCTGTTCTTCATCATTACACTAACGGTTTCCTCTGAAGGTAACATTGTGACAAGTAGAGTGAAGGTTAGAAGGGAACTCTCTGCTCTATTATCTGCAATTCCAAGCCTAAAACTAGGTAAAAATAAGCCTTTAAAAAGGAGGAAAATGCATTTTTTTCTTACATGGATTCATCTACACTATCACTTTCCTACAGAAATAAACTGATAAAACAAAAATAAAGCAGCCGGGCGCGGTGGCTCAAGCCTGTAATCCCAGCACTTTGGGAGGCCGAGGCGGGTGGATCACGAGGTCAAGAGATCGAGACCATCCTGGTCAACATGGTCTCTACTAAAAATACAAAAAATTAGCTGGGCACAGTGGCACGTGCCTGTAATCCCAGCTACTCAGGAGTCTGAGGCAGGAGAATTGCCTGAACTCAGAAGGCAGAGGTTGCGGTGAGCCGAAATCGCACCATTGCACTCCAGCCTGGGTAACAAGAGCGAAACTCTGTCTCAAAAAAAAAAATAATAATAAAGCAAAGAAACATTATTTAATTTGTTATAACCTGTAACAGGGCATCTTAAACCTCTGGAAAATATTTACAATAAGAAAATATTTTGATAGATTTATGGAAAGCCATGATTATCCCTAAAAATATACCACCCAATGCCTTTTTTTGCAAATAGGACTTTTTATTTTATTTTATTTTTTAAAATAAAGATGGGCTTTCACCATGATAACCAGGCTGGTTCTGAACTCCCGACCTCAGGTGATCCACCCACCTCAGCCTCCCAAAGTGCTAGGATTACAGGCGTGAGCCACCACGCCCGGCCACAAATAAGACATTTTATTTGCCACTATTATAAGTCTGAATTTTAAACAGATTCTTGGACTGGTGGTTCATATCCATCAGCTCGTTCAACTTTAGCACCTGTCTCACCCCCAGTGGCTTTTCCAGAACTACTGCCTTCACCATGAAGCTCCATGAGTTTTCCCAATTCAAACTTGGGCTTCTTCAGCATTTTTACTTTTCTAACGAAGACATCATGGAGAGGATAAATAGATTGGCAAGCCTGTTCTATGTCTTTCCCAATGCTGTCTGGAATCAATTTATTGACCACTTCTTTCAAGTCATTTGTCTGCACCTCTCGGGTCATGATTTCATCATCTTCTTCCGGATTTGGCGGACCTGTTGGTGCTGAGCATAAGAGGTCTTCCGTATCTGATTGTTGCGTTTTTTAGTAAAACCAACACAGAACAGACGAAGCAAGTAACCATCGGTAGTCTTGACATCAACATGAGCTTCAATCATTGTCTGCCATTTTTTGACCATGGAACACATTTTGTCACGGGTAAGATCCATGCCATGGAAGTTAGTGAGGCAGTTTTTGCCCTGAACATCTTCAGTAATCAGCTTGAATTTTCTAAACGCAACTTCATCATTCTGCAAATCAGCAAGACTAACTTCAAACACTCGACCCTTGAGGCCATCAGATGCAATTTTGGTTCCTTGGGTCCTGGTGACTAGCGTCTTTCCAATATTTCTTATATTGAACATAGCGGGTGCTTTCACATCATACCAATCTTTCTTAGAAAATGGATCAACCACTTTCTTCTTGGCTCCCTTTTTGCCGCCTTTCGTAAGGTGCTTGTTCTTGCCAACCGCCATGGTGCTGCTTAGAGAGCCAAAAGGCCCAATGCTTATTTTTAAATGATCTACATTTCCTTCTAGCAATTAATTAGACCTACTGAATTGAAATTTAGAAAGAAAAAAAGACATACCCATCCGATCAATCCGGGGCGCAATTCACAAAAGTATTTGAGATCAAAAGTACCAATTCGAGGGTTTAATTCACGGCCAATGAAGAAATCATAGACAGCATTTCCTGAAAAGGGAAAAGTGTTTACCCAAAGTGTTCCAAACCCAGTCAGGAGGGTTTAAAACGGCACTGCTGCCCACTATCTAGGCTCACAGTTCAACTGCCTGCAAGAGCTGAACAGAGCTCTGGTTGTGAGGTATACAGGACGGCACAGATTAAGGGAGCCGGGAGATGCCTGCCCAACTGAAAAGGCAGTTGCTACAGCCTTTGGGGAGCTGGGGCCCCAGATCTCCCAGGTTTTTTTAAAAAGTTAACCAAAATCAAGAGGACCCCTCCAAAGGACTTTACGCTTACAAATTTTTTTAGATAGGTGACATATTTTTACATTTAAATACTTTAGGTCAGAATCAACCAATTTGTAACCTCACTTGTTTCTTGTTTGTTTTGTTTTTTTAGAGGGAACCTCGCTCTGTCACCCAGGCTGAAGTGCAGTGGTACAATCTCAGCTCACTGCAACCTCCACCTCCCGCATTCAAGCAATTCTCCTGCCTCAGCCTCCCAGGTAGCTGGGATTACAGGTGTGCAGTACCACGCCCAGTTGATTTTTGTATTTTTAGTACGGAGTTTTGTCACATTGGCAGGCTGGTCTTGAGCTCCTGACCTCAGGTGAGCCACCCGCCTCAGCCTCTCAAAATGCTGGGATTACAGGCGTGAACCACCTCACCTGGCCAGTAACCTCTGTTGTTTTATTTTTGTTTTTTAAAGAGAGTTTACTACTTTGGACAAAGAAATAATTTTGTCATAAGTCAAAATGCCCGTAAGTTTACTAAACGTCTTACTGTCCTCAAGCAACTGCAAAAAAAGAAATGAATTAAAGTGTAAAAGAAAAACAAAAACATTTTCTTCCTTTAAATTCATTTCTCTTTAACTTTTTTCTTCATCCTTTCATTTTTTCTTATTTCTCTTCATTTCCCATAAAATGAAGTTAGAAAAAAAGCCATCTACTCAAATCTGGAAATGGCTGCTGGAGGGCTCTGGGACGCATTCATCCAACACGCAATTTATCACTGCTCACCAGAGCTAGCAGGCGACAGGTCCTTCCGGGGCACTTTCAAAGAGCGCATGTAGAGATACACACTCAAGACCACACAAAACACAGTGGCTGCAAGTGTAAACTGAAGAAAATGTCTGTACACATAATGAAACTCTACGCCCTGGAAGAGACATGTTCCGATGATTGCAGATGTCAGGATAAAAGCATAGAATCCTTAAAAAAAAAAAAAGGGGGGGGGAATTAATGTTAACCCAAGACTCACAGGACTAACACCACTATGAAACATTGCAATGTTCATTTTTAAAGTCTTAATTTCATTATTCAGACTAAATACAGACAAATATGCAAATAAGGCATGTACTAAGGTGTAATCTACAATATATATATACATTATCTCTTGTAGAACTCTCCAAATAGTTTAATATATTGATTCTTTGTCAGTTCACATGGTCTTTACTTGCTCTTAATTAAGGGAAAACTGACAAGAAGTACAAACTGAAAATTCCCAATCCAAATTTCTCAGGTACAAAGTCAAATGGCTAATTAACAGAGCTAGGCCAAACACACATTACCTAAGGGGAGGGTATTATGCACCCACCAGGCATCAGGCAGTGAGCCAGGTTGCTAGTTATTTATATTTGAACCAACTTGTCAATAATGATTTCAAAAGATTCGAGTGATACTCTATCATCCAGAACAGAGATCTTAAGATGCCACCCCCGCAGAGAAAAGGCCACAACACAAATGCCAGAGGCCAGGTAGGGAACTTTGAGTACCGTGGGGCAGGGACAGCAAGTGGGGATATTCACGTGCAATGCCAAGTTAAAAAGCGCCCACCCTGTGAGGCTCCACAGAACTCTCGCTCCATACTAGTCCTGCTGCCACACAGAGAGGCTCATTGGACGATCCAATTTTTCCTTTTGGCTAAAGAAATAGTTTTGCTTTCAAGGGAGCTGAGTGCCTGAAAGAGCTGTGCTCCTAAAACGTTATCAAATCACATCTGGATAAGTGGTCAAACGCAAAAAAAAAGGTAGTTGTTATTTATATAAGAATTCTAAAACCAAATCTTTCATAAAGTAAAATAATTGTCTCAAATTATCTGATCCACATTTTCCACAAATACTCCAAACCGTAACTTTTCATTTTAAATTTTGACTTTTAAAAATATTCATTTACCTTTCATAAAATGGATTAAAAAAAAAAAAGAATGCTTAGATAAACCAGTCTTTTGCTCTCTAGCCTATGTGGATTAAAAATAATCATCCAAAATGTCTTAGGAATCTCCTTAGTTAATAATGATAAAATCTCATGAAGCAAAATCTCAATACTTGAACCAGAGTAATTAGATGAGGAAATTCTTAAAAAGGATCAAACAACTTGGCCAGCCACTCCCCCACTGGCTCCAAGAGCTCCATGTCCAAGTACTGTACTCAGTTTCTGAATGTACCACACCCCTCAGAGCGAAGTGAAACTGTAACACAAGACTACTTAGAAAAGAATCAGTATAGCAGGGCGAGGTGGCTCACAGCTGTAATCCCAGCACTTTGGGAGGCTGAGGCAAGCAGTCAGGAGTTCAAGACCAGCCTGACCAACATGGAGAAACCCCATCTTTACTAAAATACAAAAATTAGCCGGGTGTGGTGGCTCATGCCTGTAATCCCAGTAGGCTGAGGCACTCCAGCTGGGACAACAAGAGCAAAACTCTGTCTCAAAAAAAAAAAAAGAAAAAGAAAAGAGAAAAGAAGGGACAGGGACAGGGAAAGGGAAAGGAAAAGGAAAAAAATTGGTGCCTACAGAGAAACACACAGAACACTAAAATCAAAAGGACAAGACAGCAAAAACAACAACCCACCTCGCCCCAGACTCACCTTCACCAGTGTGGCAAAGTGAACTACCAGAGGGAGGGAGGGTGCCAAAGTTTCTAAAACTTGCTCCATCAGCAAAGAATATGGAAAAGCAACAAAAAGTCTGAGAGTACCAACAACAAATATTAAGCACCCACCAGGGGTCAGGCACTGGAGCTAGGTGAGATGCCTCATCACACGAAAAGGCAGAACGTGTTTAAATTATCTTTGGCTTCCCTTTTGGAACCCAGCAGAGCGATTGCAGACAGAGTAGATGCTCGATAAGTCTCTAAACAAAGTATCCAAAGTTAGAAAATGAAAGACTGAAAGGATAAAAAGTTCAAGCATTAAAATATATAATGTAATTCTCAAGAAAAGTAAAACACTCTACTCCATCTCGTCAAATGGAAAATCATTCAAAGATGACTACAAAATAGATCTGTACTTTGCCAAAATCTTCAGATGGCAAAGCTGGACTGATGCACTCAGCACATACTCTTACAGTGAGAGGTGCTGGACCCAAGAGGAGGCAAGGTCTACCCACTGCTTGAGCTGCCCAGCTAGCCCACAGCTCATCTATCCAGCACTCACATATGAATAGGCACCCACTCTATGCCCATTTTCCAGGCATGAAGGGCATCACAATGAACACAGCCAAGTCCCAGCCCATGAAGTTACATTCTAGTGGAGAGACCCAAATGAAGAAACAAATACACTGACATTGGGAGGCACAAATATCAGACAGAAAAATTAAAAAGAGCAGGGGAGAGAAAGGGACCTGAAGGCTTCTCTCAGAAGAGATGAGACAGAGGTAAAGATGCAAGTGTCAGACATTTGGGGTACGTTTTCCAGGCAAAGGCCCAGGAAAAGTGTGTGACGAATACTCAAGGGACAGCCCGGAGGACATGAGCAAGGACAGGAGCAGCTCACACAGTGGAGTAGTCTGGATGCCTGCATCCGTTTAACACCTCAGGGTGATAAAATCCAAGACAAGTGCAATGATTTCTAACAGTGATGAATACTATTAAGAAAATAAAACTGGAGAGTGGACAAGAGTAACCAAAAGGCTACATTACTTTACATGGCATAATTTATACATGTCATCTATAGGTATAAACAGTTGCCCTTCCAACTACTAAGAGATAATTTACTACTTACTGCTCTAGTCTAATCAGCTTTAACAAGAGTGCAACACTTAGAAGTTTAAGCTATCAAATCATCAATTTGAGTTTTAAAAAAAGAAAATCACCATTTAATCTATACTTGAGTCTTCTTCCATCAATAAGAGGCGTTCCTTCTACAACCTTGAAAGAAAAAAAATTTACAAATTTACAAAGCACATCACCATTATATATAAATACATACACATACACACACACACACATATATCTCCTAATAGTACTTAATTTTCAACATGCCCAAGAAGGAAAGTATCTTGTAATAAGAAAATTTAGTAACATTTCAAAAACCTTAATGACAAGCCCTTTAATGAAGCAATTCCACCTTCAGGAATTTATCTTAAATACAAATCCAGTAATGACTTCCTAGGGTAGGACCAAGCAACTGCAACAGCCACACTGCCCCCAACACTCCCATGTACCACCTCAAGACTAAATGTGCTTAAATACCTTTATATCTAGTGGATCCCCAACTCAAACATCGACCAATGGCTGCCCACTGCTTACAAAAGAACAGTATGATTCCACTGTCTTCCATTTGTGAGGTCCTTTTCAAATGGGCTCTACCTTGTTTATCCACTCTATGGCCCAAGTGCTATTTGATGACAGGTACTCCTGTGCTTACTTCCTCTGCTATTTATACATATTTTGCCTATCCAGTTATTTAACCATTTCATGTGATTCTTTTATCTGCATAAGAGACTGTGAGAGGCCAGGTGCGGTGACTCGCGTCTGTAATCCCAGCACTTTAAGAGGGCAAGGTGGGAGGATCACTTGAGTCCAGGAATTGGAGACTGGCCTGGGCAACACGGTGAAACCCCCTCTCTACAAAAATACAAAGTACAAAATATAGCCGAGCCTGGTGGCATGCGCCTATAGTCCCAGCTACTCTGGAGGCTAAGGTGGCAAGATGACTTCAGCCCAGGAGGAGAAGACTGCAGATCCTGCCACTGTACTCCAGCCTGAGTGACAGAGCAAGACCCTGTCTCAAGAAAAAAAAAAGAAAAAGAGTGACTGTGAGCAAACATTATGGATCAGAACCATCCCCTCTCTTCATACAGCATCACCCACAGCATTCAGCACAGGGATACCCACAGGTATGGTGTCCAACTGAACTGGCTGAGTAAAAAGCCCACTTGCCCAGTGCAGACACATTTTATCCCACGAAGTAACTATTCAAAAATGCAGCAATTCATTTCAAACTATAAGGCATAAACCAGTATCATTTGTTCTAGGTTAAACTACTTTATCCTATCATTAGCTACAGATTTCATTAGCTAGCATTCCTCTTCACCCAGGAGAAAGGTAAAAGCTGTTTGAGATCACAGGATTAGCAAAATCCCACATGCTAATTTCAGATGATCCTTATCTACTAAAGGTGTCTAGTAAATGCTGTGTTGGGCTTTAATCTCTGAATATATAGATCCAAATATACAGTCAGCCCTCTGTATCTGTGGGATCCACATCCATGTATTCAACCAACCACAGATCCAAAACATTTGGGAAAAAATTGCATCTGTGCTGAACATGTACAGACTTCTTTTTCTTGTCATTATTCCCTAAGTAATACAGTTTAACATGACACTTACATTGTATTAGGTATTATAAGTAACCTAGAGGTAACAAAGTATACAAGGAGTATGTACACAGGGTATATGCAAATACTACACTATTTCAAATCAGGGACTTGAGCATCCCCAGATTTTGGTACCTACAGCAGGTCCTGGAAACACTCCCCAAGGATATCAAGGGATGACTGTATAATATTAATATATATTTATATGTATATGCTTTTAGTCACTTTAGTCTGTGAATATACACATAAACGACTTTAAACATCAAAACTGCTTTCCTTAACACTCTGGAATCACCTTACCTCATACGAATCTGAATTTAACTGTAGAGCCTTACCATAAAAATGACTGAAGGTCTTTATCACAAAAATCCTTGCTAGAGCCACTAGTTATGGTCTCACTCCACAGTATTAAGCCTGCAGCTCTACTCTCCTATTACTGGCATTCACCACTCCTGGTAAAACTGATCCTTTGGTTTACAGACAATTGGCAAACTTGCAAAGCCCTAAGAATAAGACCTTTAAATAAATTATTACTTAGGAAATCTCATGTTTCTTTAAATATATCCAAGTAAAGGATTCTACTGAAAGAAGAAAAAACTACACTTAGCTAGCAATGGAGAGCTTATCAAAATTTTTAAGATATTGCAAGAATCTGAAAACAACATATAATGTTCTTGACAACTAGCTTCTGGAAGAGATGAAAACTAGAAACTTTTCATATTTTTTTAACAGATATAGACTAAAGTCCATTAAGCCCAGTAGCCTATCAATTAATCATTTAAAATGCTGCATCTGGGCCGGGCGCAGTGGCTCAAGCCTGTAATCCCAGCACTTTCGGAGGCTGAGGCGGGTGGATCACAAGTTCAACAGATCGAGACCATCCTGGTCAACATGGTGAAACCCCGTCTTTACTAAAAATACAAAAATTAGCTGGGCACGGTGGCACGTGCCTGTAATCCCAGCTACTCAGGAGGCTGAGGCAGGAGAATTGCCGGAACCCAGGAGGCAGAGGTTGCGGTGAGCCGAGATCGCGCCATTGCACTCCAGCCTGGGTAACAAGCGAAACTCCGTCTCCAAAATAAATAAATAAAATGCTGCATCTGAAATGACACTTACTGAGGGTGAATTTTTTTTTCACAGCAACTACCACTGAGAGTCAGGATTCTTTGCAAAATAGCCTATTCTTTTAACATTTGGTTTGAAAAGTTACACAAGAAATCTCAGATTTTCTTTCAGTTCCTCTTAATAAGCAAATGTTATACAAACAGCACAAGTATAAATGGCTTCACGAAGTAAGTTTTGGGAATTATGACCAATAACAGCCTCTAATCTTTAAACTACTATTAAGGCTGGGCAGCATGGCACACGCCTGTGGTCCCAGCGACTCAGGAGGCTGTGGCAAGAGGATCACTTGAGCCCAGAAAGTGGAGACCTGCCTGGGAAATACAGCGAGACCTCATCTTATTAAAACAAAACATAACTACCATAAACGTACCTTTCCAATTGGTAGTAGGTAGAAGAGGGCTTGAATCAGAAACCACAGGAGGCAGACCCCAAATACTCTGGTTTCCCATAACTCATATAAAGCTGGCAAAGGAGGAGGGAAATTCAGAAGACTGGGATCTTTTTGTTTACACATCAACAGCAACAGGAAGAGGAATACAGGCAGGCCAAACATGATGAGAAGCACACCTGCAAACGATTCATGAACAGTCGAGGTTCAAATTTCAATCTGGTATATTTATTTAGGAATCATGTTAGCTTTTTAAAGGTCAGAACTCATAGCTGGCTAGCTGTCTGAAACCAATTTCTAATGTACCGTCAAAAATTCCCATCTCTACCTGTCACCTCTGGTGGCCGGGCAACCATGGGCATCAAAAGTAGTGAAAAAACAGAGGTCCAACACTGAATAGCTACACCCACCTCAGAAACCAAGCTCTAAAACATTTGCCCTCCAACCACTGAGAAGCAAAAGTGTACAAACTCCAGCAAACTGAAGAGCAGAACACCTAAAAATCATCAGCCTAAACAAAAAACTTTATATTCCTAAGTTTCTAACAATTAAAATAGCATCATGCTCATGTAATATGTGCAGATTTTCAGATGCTGGACAGCCTCTGTAACGGACCAGCTAGCCAAAGGTTAGAACTACCAAAATACAAAGCAATTAAGCCATGCAGGATTTTGAGGCATTTAAACACGAAATCTTTTCTTTTACTAGCTCAAAAAATTTCATCAGTTCCACCCACTCAATAAAATTCAAGGCTCTGCACACTTCAGATCTTTGACCCTCACAACCAACCAACCTGTCTAGCAGGTAAGGCAGACTCTGGGATCCTACTTTATGCATGCAGCTGACTCCCACTGCTAGGCCTGCCACCTCAAGCATGATTATTAGCAGAGCTCCCTGGCCCTGACAGGTAACCATCCATGCTATGCACAACTCCCAGATCGACCTTCCTTTATCACTTCTTTGTACTTCTCTGCTCAAAACCTCTGAAGAGGCTGCTAAAAGTTTTCAACACAGCAACAGTGGCATCCTTTATACTCCATGATCCCCCAAAAAGCTCCCACCTCAGGCCTTTGTACCTACTGTTCCTCCTCTGGAAGGCTCTTCCACTGGTTCCCACCAGGCTCATTACCTTGCCTGCCTCAGATATCTTCAGAGAGGTCTTTCCAATTCCCCTGGTGTCGACCTCCACTAGCCCACCTCACCTGCCCTCTCCGGGCCCAGCTCTGAGGCCTACCAGGTACTCCTCCAAACTCCAAGTCCTTTGCTCGGATAGGGGTCACTTCAAAGGTTCTCACTGCCAGTTCTTTTGTAACAAATTTTTCTTCCTTAGAATCCATTTCTTTTAATCTGATCTCTTCTCTTCTTGGACGAAGGCTATACTGTGTAGATATGTAACTGCTTTCTTGTAACAAATTGAATTTTTCCTAAATGAAAAATTTAAAAATTAATATCTATAGTAAGCAATTACCACTAATGCTATTGCATTAACTATTTCAGCATCTCAATAGAGCTGTATACTAATAAGAATAAATTTGTGAAATTATATTGTCTTAATTTTAGAACAGGTTATAAAATACTATATAATTTTCAATGTGTTTCTTGAGGGATAGTCACTTTAAAAAAAAAACCCACATGAAAGTGAACGCTTTCCCACCTGTGTATTTTTATGAGGTACGTCATTCCTCTCAATGTGCTCGGGCTCCCCATTATATCTGCTGATGCTATTTCCAAATGGCTTCTAAATTGAATATGAACATTTAATCAAAAGAACTGTAACTTATTAAAAAGAAACACGATGGTAAAAACTTACTATTCTGAAATCAAGCAATGAAACAGATTTTTCACAGCCTTAATTTCTAAGAATTTAAGCCTTGTTTGGTTAAAAATGAAAAAGAATAAAACTGACTAGAATTTCCCAGTCTTGGAAATACTGTATCTCAAAATGTAGATTTCTACATAAAATCTTTCATCTGGCCAGGCATGATGACTCACGCCTGTAATTCCAGCACTGTGGGAGGCCGAGGGGGGCAGATCGCCTGAGGTTAGGAGTTCAAGACCAGCCTGGCCAACATGGTAAAACCCTTTCTCTACTAAAAATACAAAAAAATTAGCTGGGTGTGGTGGTAGGTGCCTGTAATTTCAGCTACTTGGGAGGCTGAGGCAGGAGAATCACTTGAACCTGGAGATGGTGGTTGCAGTGCACCGAGACTACACCATTGTACTCCAGCCTGGGCGACAAGAAAGAAACTCAACCTCAAAAACAAACAAGAAAAACCTTTCATCTTTCACGTAATTAGACTAAATGTTATAATTTCATTGACAGACTATGGATATTTGCTATGAAAGGCATAGAAAGTAAAAATTGGTAAATTAGTTCATTAACTAGATAAAAAACAAAATAAGAGACATTCACTGCCCCAAAATAGCCAATAATGGAAAATTAAGAAATAGTGGGTACTTGTGCAATACACAGTAGGCCCGAGGCTCTGCAAGTAAGGAGCAAAGCCAGTCTGTGGTTCTTCTTGTGACACCAGGACTACAAGATTACACTGTAAAAATACAGCAGTCTCTAAATATTAAAATGAAAAAATAACTAAGTATCATACAGCATCTGTTCCCTGAGTCCCTGGCTGGTAAAGAGAGCCACTAATAGTCAAAATGTTCAAACTCAAAGTGTAAGTTAGAACAGTAAGTTTAAAATGTTTGACAACCACATTGGCAAAAATAAATAAATACAATTATAATACTCAGAATGAGAAACTAGGCATTAATACACTGATACTACTATAAACTTTCTTGATGCAATCTGGCATTATGTACTAAAAGCCTCAGATCTGCACCATATAGCAGACCTAGCACTTCCACTTGTCAGAATCTAACCTAAGGAAATAATAAGATATTAAATAAAAATACTTGTTTTTAATAGTAAAAATATAGAAGAAAAACATTAAATGTCTATCAATGAGTGAGCTGATTTTAATGATTAAGTTACATCTGTATAATTTATCATATATCCATACTATAGAAGAAAAATTATGTAGAACAATACGCCTTGAAAGATTATCCCCAATATTCCAAAATCTCTTAAAGCTGACTAGAGAATAGTATGTATATAATCTAGTTTCAAAGATTATTAAAAGTCTGCGTACATTCTATCCAGGATAGAGGTTAACATTAAGTGAATAAATAGCAGATGACTTTTATTCTAATTATTACTTAAAATACCTTTTCTTTAGAATACTATCTAAAATACTCTTTGTATAAGGTCTACAGGCTCCATGCATCCTGTTATTTCAAAGCTTACACCTTCAAAGTGTAAGATGACTCCATTAAAATCATCATCTTTGAATAGGTAAAGTGATCAAGTATAATGATGCTAAGAGTAAGAATGTTTCTATAATACAGGTTTCTCTTATCATTTCATACATGATATGAACTTTCATACACTGTAAAAACTTAGTTCAACCTACAAGCTACTTCTATTTCAAATGTGAACACTGCTTTTTTAAAAACAAAAATATTGCTGGGCACAGTGGCTCACGCCTGTAACCCCAGCACTTTGGGAGGCCGAGGTGGGTGGATCACCTGAGGTCGGGAGTTCAAGACCAGCCTGCCCAACATGGAGAAATCCTGTCTCTACTACAAATACAAAATTAGCTGGGCATGGTGGCGCATGCCTGTAGTCCCAGCTACTCAGGAGGCTGAGGCAGGAGAACTGCTTGAACCCAGGAGGTGGAGGTTGCGGTGAGCCAAGATTACACCACTGCACTCCAGCCTGGGCAACAAGAGCGAAATTTCATCTAAAAAAATAAAATAATATAATATTAAATAGCATTTTTGGTAACTGAAGGACATTCTTTTCCGTTGATATTTAAAACTTTCTATTCTAAACATTTGTTTTTGATGAAATTTTCAGAAGTCCTCACCTTAGATTTGATGTTTCACTGGCATTTTAATATTAACTGCAAGTAATTTGAGTAAATACATACATAAAGGGGAAGACAAAAGGCTGTATAAGGATAAACACAAGTACCAGAACCAGCGGAGTCAATTTAACTTCCACTTCCCTCCTTGCTTCCTTAATGTCAGCCTGGTGGGAAGCAGAAGCAGATCGGCGGGCATCTTTAGGTGGTCGACGACCAGGGGATCGGGAGCGTGACCTTGATCTATTCCCTCGGCGTCTGGAAGGGGAACTGGAAGTTGAGCCACTTTTCCTTTGCCTAAAGGAAGTTAAAGGCTAGAAAGGGGGAAGAAAGCAAAGAGCTTTACCACAAATCATAACACGTGCAGACAGACCCAAACTAGAAGAGGATAACAAAGGCAGGAACTGCTACCGTTAACCCTAAAGTCAACACGGGAAATCTTAGGATCTGAGAATGGATCAGATGAAGCCAACAGAAAATGCTTTCACTATGATCCATCTTGCATGAGACAGATACAGCCTTTCCATTCCTGTTCTTTGAAGGTATTTCCATGAAATGAATGTGTCAAAACCAATTCACTGTACTAATTAACACTGATTAAAACTGAGAAGATAAGACAAAAGAAATTAGCACATGGACAAAAAAAAAATAGTGTCACAGTTTCACTGAACAAAACACATAAGCAGATCTTGAAAATAAAACAGGAGCTTGGATGACTGGGAACTGTTTTACCGTGTCCATGCCTACTCCAAATCTCCTTATGTTGCTTCTAGGGATGTAGACAAATTATGGCCCAGGCCAAGTCCCCCACCCCAATTTTTGTGTGGCCTTCCTGCTAAAAATGGCTTTTACATTCTTAAATGATTACAAATAAAATAAAAATAATAATATTTCCTGATGTGTGAAAATTATCCAAAATTCAAATTTCAGTGTCCATAAAGTTTTATTGGAACACTGCTATGTCTACTCCTTTCCATACTGCCTGGAGCTGCTCCCATAAAGCCTAAAATATTTACTATGGCTTTATTCCTGGTCTAGAGCACTCAAAGTGTCATCCTAGGCTATGGGTCCTAGAAATGCTTGTTACTAATCTGCGCAAGTACCAAAATTGAGAAATAGGTGTACGGAAATGTTAACAGCATTTTGACAAAGTAATCTCATATCCAACGAATCTGATAGTAAAACTGTGAGACTTTTATTTTGTATGTCTTTATTTTTCTAGTGATTCATTTTTATGGCATTTTACATAAATGTTTGTATACTATGGATCAGGTATCTTAAAACCCAGGCTCTCACCAGACAGGTTGAAAAGCCCTGGGCTAGATGCAAATCTAATTCATGTCACTCTCCTGATTAAATCCTTGGTGTTCAGGATGAAGCCCAAACCCTTGGGCATGGAATATAAAAGCCCCTCCTGCTTAGCCCTCCCCCAACACCTGATTCCAGCACTTGGCTGACTGTGTGCCCCAGCCTCAGACTTTGGCATACTGCCCTGTCTGCAGAAGCAGCCCCATCATCAACTGAGTTTTTCCTGTTTGTTCTCGGCACTTGGCTCAGGTGTCACTGCCTCTGAAAGCCTCCCCTGAAGCCCAGGGCTCTTCTCTACTCTTGATATACTCAATACCACCCACAGCAAACTCCAGGCACAGAATGTAGTAAACCCAGGGGACCAACAGATGCAAATATCTGTCTTTCCCAGTAAGTGTGAGCTTCTTGGGAACAAGGCACTATGCCTCATTCATACATTCCCAGAGCCAAAAACGCTATGTAACCCAAAGCAAGAAAGAGCTCAACCCTCTGCCTCCAAACAGAGCTGAACTGACTATCCTGAGCTTAGAAACCATAGAGTTATTTTCCATTTACTATAAACATACTCTGATAAACCAAAGGAACTTACCTTAATATCATTCTCTTTCAATTCAAGTTCTGTTCCATCTTTATACTTTACAGTGTAAAGCTGGGAGGTGCTGTCGTGGCTCAGAATTTCTACTTCATAATACAGAGAACTCCCAGGCCATCGGCCTCTTACCACTTCACCATCGGCAAATTTCCTACTTGGCATTTTCTAAAATTAGCCTAAATAGTTTTAAAGAAAAAAATTTGAGTCAATACATACACATTTATGTACATCCTTTTCCACAGGCTGATCACTAAAATACAACTTTCCAGAACTGAATGGTCAGGATTTGGGGGCCAGAAAGGCTAGATTAGATCTCATTTGGAATCAAGAGAGACTTTATAAAAGACTGGAAAAATCAAAGATGTACAATTGACATGACTATAATCCACCAACAGGTAGAAAAATAATTCCAAGTCTATAATGAACAGCAAATCTGGGGGTTATTTCACTAAGCTTTCAACTCTTACAGCTGAAGTACAAATGCATACCAAGTAACTCTGTCAACCACCCACCCAAGCCAGGGTATACCTTGCCTTCGTCCAAACTCACCTCTCTCAAGCCTACAGCAGACATCTACCCCCAATTATAACATCCTTTTCCTGATTCAAAACATGGCCCACACAGCCCCACAACCCTCCAAGAATCCACAAGCAATCCACAAGAACTGCCACCTGAGGCCTGTTTGCCACCCTTTTTGAAGTATCAATTGATAGCTGGGTGCTTTCAGCTGCCAGATAGTAATGCTGCTCCGTCCGCTCACCAGCAGATTCACATTTCTACACAACAAAACCAGGGCTGCCGACCTTCCCCAGTACCACATGAACTAGCTGGGGCCAAGTCCAAGAGGCAGACAGTAGGACAGACATGAGCTCTCCCCCAATCACCTTCATTTAACCAACTAAGTACTTCCTGATGTATTGTCCACGCATATTAAAGTACATCCCTCACTGGCTCCGGTTAAGAGCTGATAACATAATGAAAGCAACATTTAGGAACCTTGAAGACTCTGGAATTAAGGAGAAAAAGTCGAATTACCTATGCCAGGGGAGTAGAGGGAGGGTGAGGGAGAGGCAGGGGGATGGGGGTGGGCGGGACCTTTCCTAAGCACTACATTTTTTCACTGCTAATCCCCTGAGGAAAAAACTTAACAAGCTCTACTAGTTTACATAGATGGCAGCTAGGTTGGTAGATAAAAGAAACCACAAGTACTTATCTGGTGATTAGAGGATGTCAGTCAATTAACACAATAAGTAAGAGAGCCAGCTTTCTTCCCTACGCCTACCTGAGATGGCATCACTGGGGTAATGAATGGGTTTGGGCTTGGAGTAGTGGGGAGGAGCCCACAAGTTTTCAGGATGAAGTCAGGCCTGGCTGAGTCACCTGAGGGGCATTCAGAAAGGGGGGAGGCAGTGGACACCTCTGCATGAGGAGGGGCACAAAAAGGGAAGGTGACAACATCCAACTTTGCCTATTTCAACATTTAGCTCAGAGCCTCCATGTACAAAGAGGAAGGAAAGTGCCCTCCTCTCTTCTCTTGAGCCACCTCCTCCTTCCTAGACCCCCCAAATCAAACCACTCTTATTAGTACTAGCTCTTCTACCCTGCTCAGCCAGGGTTTAAAGAAAGCAATTATATCTTCCTATAGGAAGACGCTCAAGTTGCAAACGACTCTTTATAAACTTTTGAAACACAAGCCCTTCAGGACGCAGGGGCTACCTGTGGTTTTAAAACACCCTTGACCAGTTTCTGCATGTTCTTAAAAACTTATTTACTGGCATCTTACTAGTGCACTATTACACGGGGCATACACAGTATCTGTAAAATATAAACACAGGATAGTGCCAAAAAGATTCTTGTTATCAATTAAATATCCTGGGTTAAACAAATTAACGCATATGATGCATATGTTAGGTTTCTAAAGCTTAATTAAAAAAAAAAGAAAAAGAATTAGCCGGGCGCGGTGGCTCACGCCTGTAATCCCAGCACTTTGGGAGGCCGAGGCGCGTGGATCACAAGGTCAAGAGATCCAGACCATCCTGGTCAACATGGTGAAACCCCGTCTCTACTAAAAATACAAAAAATTAGCTGGGCGTGGTGGCGCATGCCTGTAATCCCAGCTACTCAGGAGGCTGAGGCAGGAGAATTGCCTGAACCCAGGAGGCGGAGGTTGCAGTGAGCCGAGATCGCGCCATTGCACTCCAGCCTGGGTAACAAGAGCGAAACTCCGTCTCAAAAAAAAAAAAGAATTAAGATTTGCTTGAAAAACAAAATAAACCAGCATTCTTCTTAGAAGACCATTATCTTATACACAAATGTTTCAAAAGATGAAGCCAGCAACATGATGTGCGCCCCCACTTTAAACAGATCCTTACACAACTGTCAAACGTGAGGATACGGTGCAATCACATCCTAACATACTCTCCCACGAGTGAAATAGCCAGGATAGCACACAAAAGCCCCACAACATCTGTGCATGTCACTATGCCCTCAAGTACAAGAGTCAAGATACACACAGGCTTTTCCTACAAGAGACATTTTAGTCAAGTGTTTGTAAAGAAAAATGCTGTTCACTGAACACAATGTCCTCATTCCACAGAAACAGGAAAAAACACGGAGACCCTGAGGCTTTTCTCTATTAAGCCAGATGCCCGCTAACTTCAGAGTCAACTGGCACTGCAATCCTTACACATTTCAGCTCCAGTAGGTTACTATTTATCAACATGACAATTCTCTGCTCTTCTCTGCTCATTAGCGTTACACTGGTCTCTAGCTATCTTTCCTTTACTTCTCCAAATTAATCTAAATGTGGCACTGAGCAAAACGCTCGAGTGAAGCTTGACAGCTTCCTTTTCACACCTGAGCTCTCGTTAGGCCTACTAGGCAAAATGCAAACAGGAACCCCGGGCCTTGCTCCGCGCCCTTTGCTTGGTGAAGCAACAGAAAGGCCGCCTTCCTGGCTGTAAAGGCAGAAGCGCCTTCTTCCCTATAAACACCCTTGGGCAGCTCATCATTCCCCTCCTGCTCGTTCTTCTCCCTCTTCCCAGGCGGCCCTGAGAAACTAAACTTATACCGGACTTGTTGCCTAGTCTAAATTAGGATCCCTCTGCTCTTCTCTGTAGCTCCATCCTCTCCTACAGAGCAGTTACTACACCGCGTAACTACAGATCTACACGTGTTTCTGTGCAAGGTCCCCGGGGTCCTGGGTCTACCCTGGCTCTGCCCAGGCACCGCGCCTCGCGCTGCAGGTGTCCACGCGCGGGCCACGGTATCTACCGCGCCCTCCTCCGAACTCCGGCAGGGCCCGGTAATCACTTGCAGAAAGCGCCTGCAACAAAGCCCTCCGCAAACAAGTGCTCACCAGGCACCCGGGCAAGCTGCTGGAAGTGCTAGGCTGGCAGTCATTAGGAGAACATTTTTCTGAATCCTCAAAAAGGCGAAAAAGCAGGACCGTGCTTTAGCAGGAGCACTCACACCCGCCTAAATACCAGCTGAGACTGTCTGGGCGAGAGAATTCAAAGCAACGGAGCGAGCAGCCCTGCAGTACGCCAGGAATCACCAAACTGCGCCGACCAACACCCTCAAAGCCAGTGACAAGCAGCGCGAATCTAAGCTCACCTCGGCCGCAGCCCCGTCCCCGTCCCGCCGGCCCGCCGCGCCCCGCCCGCATCCAACTGCGGTACCGCTGGGCCGCCCGCTCATCTGTCAGACGGACGCTCGGAGGGGCCGGGAGCCGGGCCGCGGCGGGGCGGGACAAAGGCGCCCACGAACCCTCCTCACCGCCGCCGCGCCACAGCCGCGCCGCACCGCCAACATGGAGGGAAACGTCCGCAGTTTAAAACCCGCAGCTCTATTTCCGCAGCGGGCCCGGCTCGGGCCGGCTCAAGCCTCGTCCGCCGCCTCCCCGACCGCCCGACCGGGCCAGGAGAGGCGAGGGAGCGAGGGGAGGTGGCGAGGAGAGAAGGAGGAAAGGAAGGGAAGAGGCGAGGAAAGGAGGAGGCGAGGGGAAGGCCGCCGCGCCAGGCCCCGCGCCCAGGAACCCCGGCCCTTTCGCGGCGCCCGCTTCGGCTCTCGTTCCCCGGCTGCCACTCGGAGGCCGCGCCGCGGGGAGCTCGGAGGCGGGCGGGGGTGGAAGCGCTCACCTGCGCCAAGCTCCTGCGGGAACACCGACGGTTCAGGGAAAACAGGCGGCCGCAGTTCCCGTGCGCGACGCTACCTGGTCGCGCTCTCGCGCCCCCGCGGTCCCGTAAACCGGGCGCGCGCCTGCCAGGCCCGGCCCCGCCCCGCTTTGCCCCTCCTTCCCCTCCGACGAGGCCGCCCGGGGCTTCCATTGGCTCCTCGGCCTTTTGAATCGTCCCCGGCGCTGTCGATTGGTCGCGCGCCGTGGCGCGTTCGCCCCGCCCCGGCCCCAGGCGAGGCCTGCGAGCTGGGAAAACCCAACCTGACGAGTTCGCGCCGGGCGAGACCCTGGGGCTGATGTTTGCCAGCTGCGTTATCTCAGACGTCCAGGCGCACTCGCAGCCCACGGAGCCCGTGCTCTCCCCCCTTTCCCTCCCAGCGCTCGCTGCAGTGTTTGGGATGCCAGGTGGCTTGGCGAACGAGATTTTATTTTTAAGCTACAAAGAAAACTAATAAATTCTGAAAGTGTTCAAAGATCCGAGCTCGAAAGCGTTTCTTGGTAAAATACTGCGAGTGCCCTCAGCGTGTTAAAATCCTGCAGAAGCCCCTGGACCAAGCAGCGGCTTCGAAGGCGAGCAGGGGCGCTTTTGTCTCGGAGGCCGCTGAGCCTGCGTAGTAGCGGACCCGGACGGAGGCTGGGCCCGGCGGCGGGAGGGGGAGGCAGGGAGAGGGAGGAACGTTCGAGGGCTACGACCCTCTGTGTGAGGAGGGGCTCGGTTGTAACCCGAGATGCTGTCAAGATGCAGTAGAAAATCCCCAGCACCGCGGAGCGTGGAACAAGAAGTTCTAAGCGTTACACCCTTAAACACCACTTTACCTGCAACTTGCAAGCCTGATTTTAATCGACCCCCAAAATGCTGAATCATGTCATTGTTGACTTCAAATCTGTTACAGATCCTAAACTTTTTTTTTCTGCTAGTTTCCATTATCTGTTAATTTATTTCCTTTTTTTGACGTCGAGAGTTTAAAGCAGTCCATTGAAGTTCCCTATTTTGCAGTGTGGTTTTAATCAAAGTATTTAACACCCTAACTAGGTATATTTAAGTGAATTACTATTTTGGAAGCACTATCTGTTAAATTGTAGTAATGCTTAGAACTCTTCATCTACAGCCTAGCTTCGGGTGCAGAGTGCTTTCATTTCCTCATAGTCACAACTACAAAACACCCAGGTTTACTTCTTAAAAAAACAAGAAAAAAAAAGAATACACTGAGTTTTCTCAGTCATTCACGTGCAGTGAATGAATTCATCAGAGCCTTTTCCTGAGAACAAGTTCTGGCATCAGATTGTTGTCCTTGTCTTCGAATTTGCCTTGGTGGAGATCTGTGCAACAGAAATGCACATTGCACTGCAAAGTCAGAAAATCTCTGATTTTTGACAAGCCCCAAAGCCTCAGTTTTCTTAAACCTTAACGTAAGATAATATTAGTCCTACTTCATAGAGTTTTGCAGTAATGGACACAGAAATGAAAGCGCTTATGGGGATCTAAGACACATCCTATCCCAAATAGCCAAGCAGTGCTACACTATTCTTTTCTCATATGTTCTACTCAGAATCAAGATTTCATTAGATTTCCCTTGAGGTACACATTTACTGGATGATTTCCACTTGTGAAATAAAAGAAGATTCATTTAAAAAAAAACAAAAACAAAAAGATATCTGACCGGTCTCGGTGGCTCATACCTGTAATCCCAACACTTTGGGAGGCCAAGGCAGGTGGATCACCTGAGTTCAAGACCAGCCTGGAGTTCAAGACCAGCCTGGCCAACATTGTGAAACCCCATCTCTACTAAAAATACAAAAATTAGCCTGGTGTGGTGGCAAGCACTTGCAGTCCCAGCTACTCAGGATGCTGAGGCAAGAGAATCGTTTGAACCCGGGAGGTGAAGGTTGCAATGAGCTGAGATCACACCACTGCAGTCCAGCCTGGGCAAGAAGAGCAAAACTCTATCTCAAAAAAAATTAATTAATTAATTAAATTTTCAAAAATTAAAGAAAAACCGACCGGGCAAGGTGGCTCACGCCTGTAATCCCAGCCCTTTGGGAGGCCGGCAAATCACAAGGTCAAGAGATCTAGACCATCCTGGCCAACATAATGAAACCCCATCTCTACTAAAATACAAAAATTACCTGGGCATGGTGGGGCACGCCTATAGTCCCACCTTCTTGGGAGGCTAAGGCAGGAGAATCGCTTGAACCAGGGAGCCAGAGGTTGCAGTGAGCCAAGATCACACCACTGCACTCCAGCCTGGTGACAGAATGAGACTCTGTCTCAAAAAAAAATAAAAAATAAAAAATTTTTTAAAACCTTCTTTTAAAGATCAGATTTATAAAGTCTCATCATAACAAAATGAAGTCAAAACTTGGTAAATTAACTAGAGTCAGTTTAGTTAACATCTTACCTAATAAATTACTAAAGAAAAAAAACGGATTCAACACCAGGGAAACTAAGCAATAATTTTTGTTCATTTCTACTTCGTGGACTCAAACATATGATGAAAAATAGATCTATATGTAGGCTGCTTTCTCAATAAAGGAACTGTTGGTGTTTTCTCTTCTTTTTTAAGACACTAAAGGCTATGTAAACTTGGAAGTGAGGAATTTTCAGAAAGTTCTTGGTTCTCAGAAAGATGCTTGTCAATCACAGTTAGCAAGTTGTGGGTTTTCAGAATCTATAAAGTAAACGTCACTTAAAGGTCCACATCCTGGCATCATTGCTGTTAATGAAACTTTGAGTGTCGAAGTCCCTTTCCCCATTTACATGACAAAAGCAAAGCAAAGCCCTTCAGTACTGCCACTAAAGCCAACCAAAAACACACAAGGGGCCACAAAGCCTTTACATATGAAATACAGGAACCCCCAGTGGAATGCATTCCAATGTGGCAATTATTTGGCTGTGGTCCCCAGAGGATCTTGGCTCTCAGGATTGAAACATCTCTCTTAGGAACCAGGTCTAGGTAAAATTTCACATGGCATGAGATCCAGCTGGATTCCTTTGGTACTGCTACATAAGGAACAAACTTCTGTATGCTGCAAACTACAGAAAACCTTTATTCATAAAGTAGAGGTACCTCAAAAGCTGATAAAAACACATTTCTACTGATGATGTTTGATATGGTTTCTATTCACACAGAAATGGAGATCCCACTTAACATGGTGCGTTACTTATGTCCATCTCAACAGCGATTTTAAAATTTTCATTTCTAACCTCTACATACTATATGCATATTTGCAGCGCTGACTTCTCCTCTTTTTTTTATTTTTTTGGAGATGGTGTCTCACTCTGTTGCTCAGGCTGGAGTGCAATGGCGAGATCTTGGCTCACTGCAGCCTCTGCCTCCTGGATTCAAGCAATCCTCTCACCTCAGCCTCCTGAGCAGCTGGGATTACAGGCACACACCACCACACCTGGCTAATTTTTGTATTTTTAGTGGAGATGGGGTTTGGCCATGTTGGCCAGGCTGGTTTCCAACTCTGACCTCAAGTGATCTCCCACTTCAGCTTCCCAAAGTGCTGGGATTACAGGCATGAGCCACCACACCCAGCCTATTTAAGCATTTTTCAATATTAAATATTTATTTATTTGTTTGTTTATTTATTTTTTGAGATGGAGTTTCACTCTTATTACCCAGGCCGGAGTGCAATGGCGCGATCTCGGCTCACCATAACCTCCGCCTCCTGGGTTCAAGCAATTCTCCTACCTCAGCCTCCCGAGTAGCTGGGACTACAGACGTGCACCACCATGCCCAGCTAAATTTTGTATTTTTAGTAGAGACAAGGTTTCACCATGTTGACCAGGATGGTCTCGATCTCTTGACCTCGTGATCCACCCGCCTCAGCCTCCCAAAGTGCTGGGATTACAGGCTTGAGCCACCTCACCCAGCCATATTTATTTATTAATAAATACCTTTATTTATTCAGTTTTTACCTCTCCCAGCTGCTGCCCAAAGTACTCCGCATTCTAACTGATTTACCCTCACAAAAGCTGTCCCAGGTAGGTGGTCTTATAGTTGAAGAAATCAAGGAGGTATGGGAAGGTTAATGCTTCCCCAGACTTACCCAAGGCAGTCTGGTTCCAGAGTTTACACCCAGCTACGATGCATTGCCTCCCAAACCGATTCCCAAAGTGCAGGGGTTTTCAAAGTGTGGTCCCTGCTCAGCAGTGGAGCTTTCCCTGAGAGCTTATTAGAAATGCAGCTTCTGGCTGGGTTCAGTGGCTTAGGTCTATAATCCCAACACTTTGGGAGGCTGAGGAGGGCAGATCACCTGAGGTCAGGAGTTTGAGACCAGCCTGGCCAATATGACAAAACCCATTCTCTAATAAAAATACAAAAATTAGCCAGGCATGATAATGCACACCTGTAATCCCAGCTACTCAGGAGGCTGAAGCAGAAAAATCACTTAAACCCAGGAGGCAGAGGTTGTAGTAAGCTGAGACTGTGCCACTGCACTCCAGCCTAGGTGATAGAGTAAGACTCCATCAAGAAAGAGAAGGGAAGGGGAAGGAAGGGAAGCAGAGGGGAGGGACGGGAGGGGAGGGGAGGGGAAGAGAGGGGGGAGGGGGAAAGAGAAAGGTGGGGGTAGGGGAGAGCGAGAGGGAAGGAAGGGAATGGGGGAGAAGAGGAGAGGGGGAGAAGGAAGGGAGGGGAGAGGAGGGGAAGAGAGGGGTAGGGGTAGAGGGAAGGGGAAGAGGAGGGAGGTAGAAGGGGAGAGGAGGGGTAAAGAGGGGGAGGGGGAGAGGGGGGAGGGAGAAGGAGAAGGAAGGTCGGGGAGGGGAAGAGGGGAAGAGAGGGGGAGGAGGGAGGGGAGGGGAAGAGAGGGAGACGGGGAGAGGGAAGGGAGAGGGGGAGAGGGAAGGGAGAGAGGGAGAGGGAAGGGAGGGGGAGGGGATAGAGGGGAGGGTAAAAGGGGGGCAGGGAGGGGAAGAGGGGGGAGGGAGAGATGGAAGGGAGGGAAGGAGGAGAGGCAGAGGAGGAGGGTGAAGGGAGGAGAGGGGAAGAGGGGGAGGGGGAGAGTGAAGGGAGGGGAGGGGAGGGGAATACAGCTTCTCAGGCCATCTCCAGACCTGCTGAACCTGAAGCTTGGGGTGAGCTCAGCCATG